TCCTCAGCACCACATAAGCAAAAAGAAAAAAAAGCCGGAAGTAGCGTTGTAGCTCAAGTGGTAGAGCACTAGCCTTGAGCTGACGAGCTGAGGGACAGCGCCCGAGCCCAGAGTTCAGGCCCCACGACCAGACCCAAAAAAAAAAGAAAACTGGGCATATCTCAAGGGCTAGGAATATGGCTTAGTAGGAGAGTGCTTGCCTAGCATTCACGCAACCCTCAGTACCACATCAACAGAAAAAGTCGGAAGTGGCACTGTGGCTCAAGTGGTAGAGTGCTAGTCTTGAGCAAAAGAAGCTCAAGGACAGTGCCCAGGCCCTGAGTTCAAGTCCTAGGACTGACAAAAATTTTTTTTAAAAAGATAAAGGTTTAAATGCTGCATGAAAGGTAAATTATTAAGTAGCACTGGCTTGTTTCCATCTTATTGGTGCTTCAGTTATTAGAATAGTGACACATGCCTATCAATAATCCCAGCACTTGGGAGGATAAGGTAGAAGGATCTTGAGTTCTAGGCTAGCCTAGGACATCTAGCAAAAGCATGTCTCAAAATCAAAACAAATTGGGCATTGGTTGCTCACATCTGTAATCCAAGTACTCAGGATGATACCTGAGAATTCAGGTTCAAAGCCAGCCTGCACAAGAAAGTCCATGAGACTTATCTCCAATCAACAACAAAAAGCCAAAAGTGGAGCTGTTGTTCAAGTGATGAGTGCTAGCCTTGGACAAAAAAAAACTCAGGTTCAACAGCACCCAGGCTCTGAGTTCATACCTCAGAACTGGCACAAAACAAGAAAAGAAAAGAAAAAATGCATTTAAGTACATAGTATTAAAGTTACATTAATTTAATTAAGGTTGATTACAGTTTGTATTTTATATAGTCTTCTTCTTTCTCAAAAGGACTTATGGCACATACAACAAAGGTTATGGATCTAAACATTCAGCTACTCCGGATGCAGAGATAGGAAGAATCAAATTTCAAAGTCGGGCTGGGTTAAAAAGTTCACGAGACAGAATCTTAACCTTGAGATGAAATGCTCAGGGACAGCGCCCAGGCCCAAAGTTCAAGCCTCATGACTGGCCAAAAAAACAGTTCACAAGACTCTATATCAACCAATAAAAAGCCTACTACAGTGGCAAGTTCATGTCAACCCAGCTAAGCAAGAAGTTTAAATAGGAGTATTGTGGTCCAGGTTGGCCTGAGCATACATGTGAAATTCTATTCGGAAAATAATGAAAGCAGATACAGCTGTAGGCATGGTCTAAGTAGTAGAGTTAGTACCCGCCTGGCAAGAGCAAAGTCTTAAATTCAAACCCCAATACAGCAAAAATATATATATATATATATATAATAAGTAAATATGTTAGTGATTGAGCCTGTGCAACAATTTTAGTTGCATGCTTCCTAATAGCCAGGGAGAGAAAGGAAACGTGGCAGTTTGTACCTTCCTAGAGGAAGAAGGAAAACAATTCTATAGGAGAGAGAATTTTGCTCTAGTGCCAAATTGAAAATCAAAGAAGAAAGTCCA